GAGACAAGTTGAAATTTGAATACTGGAAACTGAAGATCCAAAATATCTCAGCCAAGAAGCACAGGCAAGTGACAAAGTCATTCCTGCTTTTAGATCCCAAAGAGAAAGATGGTTTTCTGTCTCAAGAGTCCCTGAGCAGCATTTGGAGAAGGAGGCTATTTGGATCTCCTGTTTTTAATTAAACTTAGTTTAATTTCTGAAATTTAATTCTCATTTGGCATTGTTTTACAGACAAATACTGTATAGTCTTTGTAATCGCTACAAACCACACAGCTCTGCTACTTGAAATAAACCAAATGAAGAAAATTCTTCACATATAATTATTACCTCTACTGCAAACTTAGCACTTATATAATACATTACATGATCAAATTGATTCGGAATTAAATTGGTTAGCTGCAGGGTCTATTCTGTCACCACCTCCCCATGGCTAACAATTTAGACAATGTGAACATTCTCAAATAAGAAACATTTTGTAAAATAATTTTTTCCCCAGGATACTTCAACTGTTAAAATTCCTATATTTGTATATTATAAAATTCAAGGTTTTCTTCTGTATCTTGGCCATATTTCCAAAGACCCCTGAAAACTAATAAACACCTACATGTGTAAGATTACATCACTCACTGAAGCACTCACTGCCCATAACTGCACATAGTTAAAAGCAACAGTAAATTGGTAAATTATGGCACATTCATACAATGGGATATAATGTAGCTGGAAAAACTAGAAAGCACTTTATATATGTTAAGAAATGACCTCAAAGATATATTTTTTCAATGAAAAATGCACAATAAAGAATACTGCATATAGGAGGTTATTAGTTCTATGGGTTTTCTTAAATAAATATATATACACACACATAAATTTTCAGTTACATGTACATGCAACACTTTTAAAAGGATAGTATGAAAGAGACTTTGCCTCATACACCCTTTTGAATTTTTTACCATGTATTATCTAGTCAAAAAATACATTTTTAAATTAAAAAAAAACTCCAAGGTTATTGACAAATTATATAATATATACAGATGAGATGCTGTTTCACTATCAGCAAAGTTTATGCTTTTCGGTTTTCAGTGGTGATGATGGACTTATACTGATGTCTGAAGAATATCTCACACCAGCATAATTTTCTAACATCATCTTCTAGAATTAAAGGTATAATCTCACCTACTCTAATATCCCTTACATAGACAGAAGCATTACCCTCGCCACCTCAGATACTGATACTCTTGCTTCTAAATGTAAATAGTACAACAACACAATGTAAGTAGATTTATATTTGTGAATTTTAAGGCATTTGAAACTATTTCAGAGGGAACAAATACCATTACCTGCATTTGAAAAAAGGGGCAGGGCAAAATCTAGGTGGCTTGCAAAAGGTCATCCAATAAGTTATAAAAAGAGAAACAGATTAAAACGTAACTTTTTTAAAGCCTCCTCAAAACTACTTTTTTAAATGGAAAGAAAATAGTATCCTTCTAAAAGCACGTGTGTGAGAAAAATAAATAAAATAAAAACGTGTGTGTGTGCGCGCGCACACACGCGCACAGAAAGAAAGACGGGAAATAAGATTTTAGCTATGATCAAATCCTTACTCATTCAGAAATACAGGTTTGAAAGAATACTGGGAAAAAAGCAAGGAACCCAACTGAGAAGAGGGATGTGCCCAGGCAGGAGAGGTAACATTTGAGCTGAGCTTTGAAGGATGAAGATGAAGTCACAGAGAGAAGGAGAAAGAACGTTCCAAGAGGAGGCTGAGCACATGTAAAGGCTCAGGAACAGGGAACAGTTGTGTACAGCTAGAGGGGAGGGTTCACGGCAGGAAATGCAGGTTGACCAGAAGGCTGGAGGTAGTTTGGGAAGGGTATGTAGTACACTAAAGGGTTTGGACTTAGGACTACAGACAGCAGAATATAAAGATCAATCAAGGTTCCAAAAGATATAAAGAGATGATTTAAGAAAACAAAATAAGATTTGTGAAGAAAGGTATTTAAAAGGCCAGAGATTATTTAGGTCTTCTGCCCATTTTTTTAATTGGGTTCTTTGTCTTCCTTTTGTTGAGTTGTATGAGCACTCCATATATATATTGGAAATTAACCCCTTATCTCATGTATCGTTGGCAATTATGTTCTCTCATATAGTAGGCTCCTTTTCCATTTTGATGGTTGTCTCTTTTGCTGTGCAGAAGCTTTTTGGTTTAAGGTAGTCCCATATGGTCATTTTTTCCTTTGTTTCTATTGCCTTATGCGTTGTATCAGTGAAAATTCTGCTGTGTGTGATGTCTGAAATTTTGTTGCCTGCATTTTCTTCTAGGATTTTTATGGATTCATTGGTCACATTTAAGTCTCTTTTATCCATTTCGAGTTTATTCTTGTGTATGGTATAAGCTGGTGTTCTAGCTTCAATTTTTTGCATGTAGCTGTCCAATTTTCCCAACACCATTTATTGAAGAGGCTGTCTTGACTCCACTGTATGCTCTTACCACCTTTGTCAAATATTAATTGAACATATTGTCTTGGGTCAACTTTTGGGTTCTTTATTCTGTTTCATTGATCTATCTGCCTGTTCTTGTGCCAGTACCTGGCTGTTTTGATTACAGTGGCTTTGTAGTATAACCTGAAATATGGTAATGTGATCCCTCCTACTTTGCTCTTCCTTTTCAAGATTACTGTGGCTATTCTGGGTCTTTTTTGGTTTTATATATACTTTTGGAATGTTTGTTCTAGTTCTGTGAAGTATGTCATTGGTATTTTGATGGGGATTGCATTGAATCTATAGATTACTTTAGGTAGTATGGATATTTTAATGATGTTAATTCTTCCAATCCATGAATAAGGTATATGCTTCCACTGTCTTATATCTTCATCTATTTCTTTTTTTAGTGACCTGTAGTTTTCTATGAATAGGTCCTTTACTTCTTTGGTTAAGTTTATTCCTAGGTATCTTAATTTTTTTGCCACAATACTAAATAGAGACCTCTCCAAACAGGACATACAAATGGCCAAGATACATATGAAAAAATGCTCAACGTCACTAATCATCAGAGAGATACAAATTAAAATGACTATGAGGTATCAACCTCATACCTACAGAATGGTTGCCATCAACAAATCATCAAACAACAAATGTTGGTGAAGGTATGGAGAAAAGGGACTCTAGTACACTGCTGGTGGGAATGCAGACTGGTGCAGCCACTGTGGAAAACACTATAGTGTTGCCTCAAAACATTAAAAATTGAATTGCTATCTGACCCAGTGATCCCACTTCTAGGAATATACCCTGAGAAGCCTGAAACACCAATCAGAATGAATATATGTACCCCCATGTGTATAGCAACACTATTTTCAATAGCTAAGACCTGGAAACAGCCCAAGTGTCCTTCAATAAATGAATGGATAAAAAAGCTGTAGTACATATACGCAATCGAATTCCATGCAGCTGTAAGAAAGAAATATCTCTTATCCTTTGAGACAACATGGAGGGACCTGGAGAGTATTATCCTACGAGAAACAGCCAATCAGAGAAAGACAAATATCACAGGATCTCACTAATCTGTGGAGTAAAATGAACAAAACATGCTGAGGAACAAAATAGACCCAGAGACATGGAAATAGGGTGCCGACTAACAAACCTCAGAAGAGGTGGATGTGGGAGGAGGAAAGAGATAAACCACAGAACTTTTACGCATGTATGTGTAAACAAGGACACAGACAATAATGCTGGCGTTGGGCAGCTAGATTGGGAGGAGGGTGTCAATGGGGGGGGGGGGACATCTGTAACAAAAATAAATAAATTTTTTAAAATAATAAATAAATAAAAATAAAGGCTAGAGATTATTTAGCCTAATATACTTCAAGCGCAGGAAGGCATCTTCCACAGATTGATAGAAAAACTCTTCTGTCCCTGGCCAGTTTGGCTCAGTGGTTAGATCGTCAGCCTGCAGTCCAGAGAGACCCGGGTTCAGTTCCCGCTAAGGGCACATGCCTCAGTTGCAGTTTGTCCCCGGCCCTGGTTGGTCGTGCGGGTGGCAGCCACTCGATGTGTCCCTTTCACGTCAATGTTTCTCTCTCTCTCTTCCTCTCCCTCCCTCCCACTCTATCTGAACTAAAAATGGAAAAATGTCCTCGGGTGAGGATAAAAAAAAGAAAAACTCTTCTGCCCAACAATGTGATTGTGACTTTTCCCCTTCCACTGAAAGCAAAAAAAAAGATTAAGTATTCAATTCTGATGCTACTACAATAAAAGTGAGCAAAAAACACTGGTTAAGAGTTAGGAGGATGCAGAAGCCCAAATGACTTAAAGAAGGCAAAATAGACCAATACCATTTCTTGAAGCAAAGAGTGGTGTCTCTTTTTTCAGGGAGTATTTTACAAGAGAGACTGACTTCCACAGGACCGTTCAAATATGGTCCTGTTTAACCCCCTCAGAATGATGTATGCCTCTTTTATCCCTTGTGATTCCACTATGCTCAGTCTGAGTGGATTAAACATGGTCATACCAAACAAATTTTAAAAACTATACATTATTTACTTGGATAATAATCAGGGGAAGACATGTCGAAATCAAAGTACTTTTAAAGAGTTTAGTGCTATTACTTTCTACTACATGTACTAATGCCACAGTATTTTCAATAGTGAATAAACTTTACCACTGTGGAAGTATTGCTTACAGGCAACTTTCTTTCTTAAAGCAAGTCAGAAATTTGCACTGTACTGCAATTGTGAATTCTTAACTATTTAGCTATTTTTTTCATAAAAAAGAACAATGCCTAATTTAAACAGAGCCTCAAAACTTGAGTACAGCAAATGCCCACAAAAATCCAACTGTAGTGTTGAAACTAGCATATTCTCATCACACATGAAATATCAACGGCATGACATTTTAAGAGAAAAAAACAACAACTGGAAAGTAGGGTAAATGTTGACCCTCAGTGGAAATAAGTGAATTTTTTTTCTAAAAATTTAAATTGTTAAGTGATCAAACATGTAGAGTACCTGGTCGATGGAATTAGGTTGAGTATCCCATTGAGAACATAGCTGAACTCCGCCTGATCCTGCATAACAAGTGCCACCAGACCCTCACAGCAGGCTGTCCGAACCACGACATTATCACTGCAACACTTCTCCCACAGCAAGTTCAAAGCAGGAGTCTGAAATCAAACCAGTGGTTAAGAACACTTCCGATGAGAAGCAAATGCACACACACCCCCAGCCATGCATCAAAGTGTAGTTCCTTCACAGTAGGCTAGATCTCCAATGTAAAGATGCTGCTGCTGTCTCTGCATTTGTAGAATAATCTAAAGTCAGTTTCCCAAGAGAGGTAATGGATGTGTTCTGATATAGCTACTCTCTCTCATCTGGTATATTTGCTGTCAAATAAGGTATGCCAACAGGTATGACCTGAGTTAGAGCAACACAACAGAACTAATAATAGATCAAAACTAAGACTTGGCTCTAGCACAGTGCTAAACCAAGCCCTTTCACCAGACACCAACAGTATCAGCAGACTGGTTAGTGTAAGCTAAAGTCCAAATCACACCTATGCTTCAGACCCTCGATGGGAATACCATTTTCAGAAAATGTTCATGCTTTCCTACCACCAACCTCTATCACCTGTATGCACCCCCCCACACACACACACACACACACAGTGTCCCTGCCTCAGTGGGCCCAGAGGGAAGAGGGAGAAGTGGGACAGGCCACCGCAAGCTGCTGGGTCCATGGCTACCAAAAAAGCCTAGAACAGTTTGCCCAAAATTTGTGACTTTTCCCCTCTTCACACCATGAATCTGTTGTCTTTCACAGAAAAACACTGGAAAGGTATATAGGTAAATATAAGTTCTTCATTTTGAGAAATTCTATAAAAGCAGAGGTTCTAACTTTCATAACTTTCTCAGGAACCCGTGATCCATTCACTAAAAAAGGTTTAATGATAAACCTATATTTAAGTGTATTGTGGGTGAAGTTCATTTAGATTTACACATGGTTTGGAGCTTTTTGTTGTTTTTTTTTTAAGAACACATAAAGAAACTACTTTTCCTTTCCTTTCTTCCCCTAATAATTTATTGGGAAAACATATAATTTGGAGGAAAAAAATTAAAATTCCCAGCTCCCAAAGAATAACTAAAAGAATGCAAATCAACATCTTATTGTGTCCACTTTCCTACTGTAGCTAGTTCTGAGAGCCTTTTCAATGATAGGATCCCACTATAACAGAGGAATCTAGTTAACAGTCACTGCAGGAAAGTAATATTTTTATTCCATTTTTTTTATTCAGAAGGAAATGTGATTCACCTGTGTGAACAATATCAAAGGGTTCCAAATGTCATTACTCCATTGCTAAGCCAGAAAAACAAAGTAAGTAAATAAATAACTGTCCCTTCAGGTAGTGCTGTGTTCTCGTGGAAGTAAGCATTCATTTATTAAAGGGAGAGGAAACATTTGGCTACAGGGATTGACAATCAGTAAATCCTGGCAGTTTAAGTAAAACCACTAGATTCGTCAGAGTACATAATGTAATTCTAGGCAGGATTAAGATCAGGGTTCTCAGCAAACTTAATTTATATGACTACATACAAATGCCAGATAAATACCAATTAGTGAAATATACCCCTACACTTCCTTCAGCCTGTCAGCAGAAGTAGTAAAGAAATGTGACTTTGGAGCAATGTAAGAAAAAGGAAACTAGTTGTTCCTTCTGTGGGGAAAAAAAAAAGAATCTCATTTCCATCATTTATATTCTCTACAGAGTTTACCTTAGAGCACCTACTTAAGTGGAATTTCCAACCATCATGTCGAAATACACAACACTGGTCAACCAGAACCCAAGTGATATATATTTCAGGAGGCTGGCATTGCTTGAACACTTAGCATTTACCTTCCCCGTGCACAATAAGAATTTTTCCTTCAGTTCTAATTGTCAATGCATGACTTTTTCAACACATGGGTCCATCTACAGCATGAAAAATCTCCTCTGTCCAAATAGAGCCACTATGTTTCTCTATTAACACAAATATTCCCTCAGAGGTAACCCTCTCAACTGTCTCTAAAGCATGCCTGGCCTCATTCCACCTATGTTATTTTTCACTAATAATCATAGAAATACTCCCCTCACCCCCTCCAGATCTTATTCCTGGCATCTATTATCACACATTTTAAATGTTTGAATTATTTGGAAGAAAATCATGGCACATAAACAAAATAAAGGCAATACACTTCTCACGGTTCCAAATTGTTTCTACAGTGACCCGAGCTCTGAGGGAAACAGAAAAAGTGCTAATGGGGTCCACCTGGTAGCACTATCTGAACAGAACAAAAGCACAGAGTTAAACTCTGACCTGATCTGTGGATTGATGAATCTTTTCTGAAAAACCATTTTCCTTTAGAACTGCAGCAATAAGATGACCCACGGCCTGAAAAGTAACAACATTAATGAATACATTTTCTCAAAACAGTGCATTTGAAGGTAATATCAATACTAGTTGATATGAGCATGCCAGACAATTAGTAATAAAATTCTAATTCATTGAGTATGTGCTATGTAGAAGACACTGAATTAGTCAGTCCACATACATAATTTTTTATCTTCATAACAACTCTCAAGGTAAGCATTTTTATCCCAATAAACAAACTACAGTTCATAGACGTCAAGAAAATTGCTGGATTTTTCGTTCAAATTATTGTCACTTAATATTAGAAGACACCTTGAGATTGCATAATCCATGAAACCATAAGACAAATAAGAAATTCCGCAGTTTTTAAAATCATCTTTGCATCTAAATGAACTCCATCATGCTTCCTCATGCCCTTAATGGAGGTGGAGAAACACATCCCCATCTTCTACTGTGGCCCACGCAGATCGGAACCCACAGGCCTCCCCTGACCATGACCGTTCTCTCTCCTCTGGGCTCCATGATTTAATTTCTTTGTTAATTTCTCAAAGGGTTTAGCCTTTTAAGAAGCTTTCAGACTAATAAATCTCTAAATTTTTTTCATATCTTGCTAAGGCGCCTTGATTATATAAATACATAAATAGCATTACCTCCTACCACCTCAGCCTCATTCTCCTAGCTTGTCGGCCCTGCTGTCTTAGAACCTAGACTAGCGACAATGGCAGCCATTCTGTGTGTGGGTTGGAAATACTTTGGCAACTGCAACAACTATTGATCCTGCACTTTGGACCAATGTATGATACTGCAATGAATACATGTCAGTCTTGCAAAGTTTCCAGAGAAGCTCAAATAAAAACCCAGTACCCAGTACTTCATCTCTTTTTGTATTCACACATTAAAAATGATTAAAGATCTCAATGATTAATGGTCTCAGTTTTGTAATACAAATCATTCATTTCCATAAATATTAAGCATAGATCAATTAACTGTCTCTTACCTCCTAGTTAAAAGAATAGTAATAAGAGTTGGAGACCAGTGAATAGTTTTGGTTCCTGTTTACAAAATATACCATATTTCACTGAATATAACTGGCCATCAACCACAAGATACATCATTTTTTACGTACCAGTAAGAAAGGAAAACACAAGCTGCCAATGAATCTGTTACACAATGCTTCATATGATTTAGAATTTTTATTTTATATTAAGAAAGAGCTCTTCCAGACTCATTTAGAGAGTCATGGCTAAGTTTACAAATGCACAGATAACATAATATGTATATTGACTATATAATGACTACTGCTATCCATTATTAGATGTAACCCAATTCCACAGATGTTAAAATCAGAGAATACAGCCTAAATTGATTTTAAAATACAAAATCCAGGAATACATCAGCCTACATTGTTAGTTTTCCATAACAGAATAGTTTAAATAGACATCTTATAATACATGTACACTTTTCACATAACTTAACAGTAACACACATCAGCATTTCTTGAATATCTGTGCAAATAAAGAGACTCCAGACAGAAAAATATTGTGGCCAGTATCCTCCAAGCCTTCGTCTTCTTCTTCATGGTAAGGACCTGTGCTGTGCAGGATAAGACTCCAACCCAGTCAGGCAGAAGGGAATCTTGCATAAGGAGTGTTGTTCTCCTCATGGAAGGGTTCCCCACTACCCAGCTAAGTCAATTCCCACAGCAAGCATCTCCGAAGCTAACTGTTGAAAACATCCAAGACGCTGTAGGTGGTTAAGTGTTCAGGCAGGCTTCTGCTGTTCCCTCAGCTTTACTCTCATAAGAAAAGGCAGTAAACTATTATGCTACCTTGACTAACCACAGTGCTTCTAGTTAGCTGAAAGCAAGCCATCTTTGTTTTAACCCAAATAATTGAAAAACTCTCTAAAATAAACTATAATTTCCTTGCTGAGTTAGTATATAGATCGAAGTTTTTTTAATCCAGGATATTTTACTTATTAAATGTCATTATTATAAAAACATATTCTTAATAGTTGTACAGAGGTAGAATATGCCTTTTAAGATATTAATCCCTCATAATCTGTAAATGTATATATCTGTTTCTGTTCCCGATAATTAATTATAGACCAAAAAATACATATTCGAGGGGTTAATCAAGGTTTGATTATTTCTAAACAGAAAAATAAACATAAATAGAAGCTGAGATTGGTCGACCCTAATATTTATTCTTCTCAAACATAAATGTTAAAATTAACTCATATAAAAGTTGTTTGATAAAACGGTATCTCTATATATAGAATAAAATATTCAATGTTAAAAACATAAAGTTCAATTAACAATCTACCTAAAAGGTTCATTTGTTACCATGAAACATAAATAAATAAATAAATAAATAAATAAATAAATAAATAAATAAATAATAAATAAATAAATAAATAATAAATAAATAAATAAAAATTACCTGTGACTGGATAAGAGAATTTGGAAATTCAAACCTTTTCCTGATATCATCTGACATTTTTTTCTTCTCTTACGTGTATGTGTACAGATTCTGTAACCAAAACAAAAGAATACTTGTTAGTCTGAAAAAAGAGTTCAAACCAATTATTCCTCAAATAACAGGAAAGTAATGTGTTCCAAAGTCAACCACTGAAACAAAGCATAAACTCTGCAAAGTAGTCCGTGCCATACACTTCACTGTTAACCGCTTTAGTTCTCACATGCCTCGGCTGATAAACCAAAATGCCCCCAACTCAGAAACAGATGAATTCACATTATAGAGCACTCGCTCCCATCCAAAAGTTCAAGCCTAAATGACATGTTTGAAATAGAAATTAATTCTTTTATTGATCAAAACTTCTAAGGGAGAAATAATCAAATTTTCAAAAAACTGTTTAAACCATTGCTTCGCTTTTGAACAAAGCTTTTGTTTAAGCACAAATCCAACTGCCAGTGACAAGTGTAAAGCCGAGGTGAGCTGTTTTCGGGTAGTATAGAAAGACCTAGAAACTCACACATCAAAATAGATTTGTCTCCTAAAAGAGGAACCAGCAAGCAATTAGCACCAACTTTTAATATTTACATCACACCTCTCATCCCTACTGGGGTCTCAAAATAAAATACAAAAGCATGCAAAAGAATGAAGGGGGGGGGGCAAGAAATAAGTCAGAGGCAGAGAACTAATAAGAGGATTTCCTAAGGATCCCAATTTATCCAATTCCCATGCACCACTGAACCCACCAAACTGCACATTTGAAAAAAGATGGATGCTTTAGGTCACCTATTTATTACAACATAACTTTCAAAAAATGTATGTCAGTACAGTACTCTAGGTTACTTATAAAAATAACAGGCTACAAAACCAAGCTCTCCTGATCTCAAAATTGAAGGTACCTTGCACTGAACTTGAGGCTCTTTCTCACTACTTCCCTCCTTTTCTTCCAAAGCTAACCTTCCTGAATGCATAATTTATCCTAGCTTTCTTCTTCAACATCTAGGTCCAACTTTACTCCCTTCAATTTGATATTTCACAGCACTGAAACTCATTCTACAACCGCAAACAATGTTCCTTATCTAAATCTACTCTTTAGCTTAAGAAGGTCAACATTTTCAGCCCTGGCCGGTTTGGCTCAGCGGTTAGAGCGTCGGCCTGCGGTCCGGAGAGACCCGGGTTCGGTTCCCGCTAAGGGCACGTACTTCAGTTGCAGTTTGTCCCCGGCCCTGGTTGGTCGTGCGGTGGCAGCCACTTGATGTGTCCCTTTCACATCAATGTCTCTCTCTCTCTCTGTCTCTTCCTCTCTCTCCCTCCCACCCTATCTGTACAAAAAATGGAAAAATGTCCTCGGGTGAGGATAAAAAAAAAAAAAGGTCAACATTTCAACTTCCCCATTGCACCAATCTCATCTTCCTTGAAATTTATTTCTCCTTTGAATTCCATAAGACATCGTAACAGAATTTTCTGAAGTGTGTCCCTGGGAAACCCACAAAAAGAGATCTCCACAGGGAGAAAAAAAAAAAAAATTTGTAGAGACATATATTGCCATCTTGAAGATTCATTCATTCACTTAACAAACATTAGGTGCCTACTATGTGTCAGAAACTGTTCTAGATGCTTAGGCTCCCTTGGTAAACAAAATAAATGAAAATCCCTATACTCACAGAACTTATAGTCTAGCAGGAAGAGGTAGAAAGTAAATTTTTAAAATAATAATAATAAATAAGTAAAATGTAGCATGTTAAATGGTGATAAGTGCTATGGAAAACAAAGTAGTAAAGTAGACAGAGTAAAGGGAATGAGAAATAAAGGGAGGACACACTTTCTCTTCTTTTCCCTTTTTATTGAATTTATTGGGGTGACACTGGTTAATAAAATTCTACAAGTTTCAGGTGCACAATTCCACAATACATCATCTGTACCTGTAACACACTTTCTATTTTAAATATGGCGGTCAGTGTTGGTCTTTTCTATAGAGGATGGCATTTGGAAGTTGTTAGCCATACAAATGATTGTGGAAAGTGTCAGAGGCACAGAAAACAGTGAGTGCAAAAGCCCTAAGCAAATAAAGTGCTTAAACCTGTTCCAGACGAGCAGGCATGAATCTAGCACAGGTTGAAGGAGGGGGAGAATGTTAAGTCAGAGAGCCAATGAGAAGCCACATCATAAAAGGCCTTCAGGGCTACTGGAAGGACTACTGCATTTATCATGAGTGAAATAGGAAACTACCACACACAGAAAAGGGGGTAAGATTTTAACGGAAGCACTTGAGGTGAGAAGTGCTCCGATTCCGGATATCTTTGAAGGCAGAGCCAGCGTAGTTGCTAAAGAACGAGGTGACAGTATAGGAGAAAGAAAGGGTCAAGGATGACTCCAAAGTTCTGGATCTAAGAAACTTTATTTTTAATCTCATTTGGGGGGGGGGCATTTTACACATGAAACAGAACAATGTATATATTAATTACCATGGTATTTTTTACAAAAGTAAAATATGCAGTTGCCATCAACTGAGATGGGAAACAAGTTTTGTGAGGGAAAACCAAGAATTCCTTTGGAACAGGTAAGTTTTTGAGCACTAACAGATATCCATGTGGAGCGCCAGATAGAGAGCTGAATATATGAATCTATAATTGGAGAGACAGATCTAAATAATAGTGCATATTATTAAAGAATCTGAGAGATTCTAAAGTAGAAAGTTTCCTTAATTCAGTTTCCCAAACTTGTCTGATCACGGCACCCTTTTGTTTTGTGTTTTGTTTTTTCTAGAAATTCCTGTTAATAGTCTATACAATCAGCCTTTCCTGGGACACACATTGGGAAACGCTGCTCTACCACTGGTCTAATTCCTTTGTGGCTAAAACCATTTTCAAAATAGTCCCACATGCTCAAAATCTGTTCTCTCCTAAGAGGTGTTACTTACGTTGCTCTCTCCCACATAAAATGCCCTTCTATGTTCCCACTATTTAAAGAGGAAATGCCTTTCATAGCAAATCTTCTCTGTTCAGACACCCCAAGTAGCCAAATCTTATAGCAAGCGCCTTGCTTTATATTCCTTCAGTGCTATTGCGTTTGGTCTGGCCCATGCCTTCATGTGACTACTTACATTAGAATTGCTAGTATTTTTCTGTAAAGGGTCAAACAGCAGCTGCTGAAGTCTGCCACTGTAGCAGGAAAGCACAGACCATGCTGTGCTCCAATAAAACTTCATTTACAAAAATGGAAGGCAGGTGGGCCATAGTGTACTGACTCCAGGTTTACAAAATGACTATTGTTTAAATTAATTTATAAAATGTGTTGATGCAATTGCAACAATTAACTTTCAAATTTGCCCCTGTGCCTCCAGGCTCAGGTAAATATATAAAGAAGGTAAATTATACATCTTTTACTACCTAAAAGTTGGACAAGTATCCTTTATCAAAGAAAACAAACTCCTTCATGCCCCTAAACACTGAAAAAAAGTCCTCATATTAGGCTTTATATATGGAATACAGAGTGATACATAATAAGCAATATCCTTAATTACATAAGCAATAAGGAATTTTATGTTACTTCTTTTTTAAACAATCCCTAAATAAAGCCATGGGTATAATCAGTAACTCAGCTAAAGAGCTTCAGTTCATGAGATCCAAGTGCAGAGTTTTCTGATGATCTAATCTAATTCAATAGAAAGTAGACTGTATAGTATCCAGAGAAGCAGATGGTTATCGGCGTATCACAGAATAGACTTACCCAAATGTCAACAGTGATAGAGCTAAAGAAAAGAAACGTGGGGTTATACTCTCTGATCCAGACCCAGAATGGCGGAATTCCAAAATGCTTTGGGGACCAGATGAGCAGCTGGTTAAGCTAATAGATTATTATGGCAGTGAAGAGGCCAAACCATCCAGAAAAGTGACTGTCTCCAGAAGGTGGGCCAATGGAGTAAAAGAGTACTGTTTTTATCAAGATTACCTAAGTGTAGATGGCAAACACCTTAGCTTACAGAAGACTGCCCTTATTTTGATGTGACATGTTAGAGAATGAACACATTTTTAAATCTATAGTAACTTTATCTTTCCAAACAAATGGTTATTAAGCATTCTCAAAACCACTATTCAGGCAGGAATATGATTTGATATCATCCTTGATTTGCTATGCTTGGGCTACAAATAGTAATTTCTTTCATCTGCTAGAGATTTATATTTCAAGGTTAATCACAACAATTTGGCCCTTTAAGGTATCAAAATATCATATTCTGTCAGGGAATTTCAGAAGAAGATACATATGCTCGCTTAGCGTTGGCAGTGCAGTGTGTGTCCTACTTTGTTTGAATCTCAACTTCCTTTGGGCACTTTATACATTTAAAACAAACAATTTCTTTTTATCATGGCATTCTTTACTAAAAGGAAACTAATCACAATAAGCTCCATAAACCACATGATACCAAAAAAAGTGTTTGATTTTAAAAGATTTAGCTGTAACTTATCATTGTGCCCTTTTTGGTTGTCTAAATCTAAATCAGAAAGAATTTTTAATGAGGTCTTAAGTTCCACATGAATCAAAGCATTTGTTTAACTTAAGCAATTATCTTATCTGTCAAGGTGTTTCAGACCCATAAGAACACTTTCAAGAAAATAAAACTATCAATTGCACTCTAGAAATAATAAAGGAGCAGCAGAGAGATAAAGCACTTCAGGTTTTTAACGTTCTCAATCGTTTCTCTAGGATACAACAATATACAACTGTATATCACACAAAACTATTTAGTGTCAAACTTCAAATGAAGGGCACAATCTGAAACACAAGAGGAAAATCTATCGAATTATATTCACAAGTGCTATGGGAAGCCAGCAGAGAAATTATGCAGGGTAATTGGCTGGGGTGGAGTGTGAGTTGTCTATCTGTCAGAGAAAGATGACTTTGAGCACTCTCCACTACCAAGTTTCTATAGAGGAAGGGTTCAGAGCAGCAATGTAGGGTCAGTCAGGGCTATAAAGAGTGCACCCTGAAGGTAGATTACATGAGCAATGTCATCAGCAGAGACAAAAATACATATTTTATTCATATTAAAGAGACCC